CACGCAAGATGTGCGAAAAAGTGCCAAGTTTGAGGTCAATTTTGAGCGTGACCTTGACCTTGACCTTTGATTTGGAGCACATTTTCAGAATCCTCAGATTCTCTTCTTTCGTTTGACACCCAATTTTGCCGGTTTGATGCAGCCTGCCGTCCTCTAGAAGGCTTACTTTGAGATCACTACACATGTGCCGGTTTGGCCTTTGACCTTGACCTCTGACCTTGAAAATTGACCTGAGGTCAAAAATTTAAGGTGCATTAGAATCGTCTCGTAAGGACCTTTCGTTTGGTATCGCTTTTGTTTCCGTAGCTCCCTTATTTACGGAGTTAGACAGGGGGGCGAAAAACGCCCCCCCCCCGGGCTGCGGTGGTTGGGATTACCCCCCGGGCCCGGCCGGGTTAATGAAAAATACCTAAATGCCAGAACCGTGTTCCTGGTCATCCAATCTATAAAGTCGGGCACAATTTAACTGGTTTTAACAATATTTTAGAAGGTGGGATAGTTCCTTTAAGTAGGAATAAACCTGAGCATAGTTTTACGGGTCTCCCGAAACTGGGTGTAGGCCTGTTTTCTTTGACCTCTTGGCTCTTGCCGGAGGATAATACGATCATATAAGATAAACTTGACATTAAAGTGTTCCGCCATAAGGTATTATCCCCCAAAACAAAAATTTCTGCCTACACCACTTTTGCTGCGTTTTTTACATCTGGAGTGGAGAAGCTCCATGGCTGAACATGGCGCGACCTTTGGCTTCCAACAGATTTCGTTTCCAAAACAAACCCGTTCATGGCCATTTGGTTCACGGCATCCAGTTTTTGTACTGGTAGAATATTACCGCAGTAGTACTCTGTGCTGACGGTTGTCTTTGGGCCATCACATCAAGCCCAATGAGTATACGGTGGTTCAAAAGGTCTCACAATTTGATTTTCGACGGGTGCCTGGCCGTTTCTACTGTTGGGGCGTTGTAGCCAGCTGACGTTCACACACGCCTTTTTCGGGCGGATCAAACGACATAATACCTTCGTTAGACCACAAAGTGTGCTTCAATATACTGTTTTGTTGTATATGTTATGTTTTTGGGATTAATTGTAGTGATTTGCGCTGATTTTCCCGTAGTTTTCGCATATTTTTCTGGCGAAGGACCCCAAATTCCAAAGTTTTGTCGAAGATAGTGGTGCAAAGTAGACTGATGTTTTGTAGATAATCCTGATCTATTGCTTAGCTAGTTTTTAGCTAGATCGGTGACGTTTGTTGTCTATGACAAGCAACCACCTGTTTGACAACTGGTGCATGGCCCTTTTTGGCCGAGCTCAAGCTTGTCAATCAGGTTTATCTCTTGCTCTCTCTGGCTTCGTTAGATGATATAATTGCGCTTTGCTCAATCCTAATTGCTTGCAGATGAGCTGCCGAAGCTCTCCAGCAAAAACCATGCCGAAAGTCCGTTTACAAAGTTGAGAACGGGAGTTGATTCACCATGGTTGCCTGTTAGTGGCTTAAGCTGAAAACGGAAAAGGACTACTCTTACTTGACTCTGGAATCTGGATAATAGTTGATACTTGATTCGAGTCGTTACCGGCCACCAAAAGCACACAGTCCCTAAGCTCGATAGCTAAGAGATATCTTATAAAAGCATGATGCTTGTTTATCATTAGAAGCGAGCGCAGTCGTACTTTTAGCCAGAAAATAAATGTTCGGGTAATTCTGGAACACCCTGTACGTACACTGATCTCATTTTAGTTGCGTGTCTAATTATACCGGGTCTGGCATGAGTTTTGTCGTATCAAAAATATGTTAAAAACTCTGTAAGATGCCATATATCCCGGCAGTTGCTGGGGTATTTCGTCACCCACCGTTTGCTGGGGGGGGGGGGGGGGCGTTAAACGCCCCCAGCCGATAGCTCGAGAATAATAGGCGCAGCGAAACGCACGAGGCGACAAACGAAAGAACGCGACGAGACGCTTCAGATGAGTACTTTAAAGTTGAATTTTGAGGTCACAGGTCGGGTCAAGGTCAGGTCAAACACCTGAAATCGGGCTTTCAGTAGCATGGACCTCAGCACTTCGCAATGAGCGCTTCTCGTCATAAACTCTGTCAAAACGGTGCAAAATCCATCATATAAGGCCTACAAGAGTGTCAGCTCCATGTAGGGGTCAGTCAAGCATAGGTCAGGGTCAAGGTCAGGTCAACCGGGTAGGCACATACCCCGAAAATCAAAACTGATATTCGCAGCCTGTGACACATGTTTTATGGGTAATTTGGGGCGTAGAACACGATGGTGACATTCATTTTATCATAAGTGTACGTGTTTGGCTAAAAAAGTTCAATTTAAGAAATGCATGTATCATGGTCGTGAAGTAGTCACGAGAAATTACCAAGCTTCAGATCAAGATTTTGGAAAATGGGAAACGATAATCAATAATCGAAGATAGCCATTTGATTGTTCATGGTATTGGCAGTGTAATGCCGTTTACGGCATGTCTGTATGTCTATTCTGTGATTTTATATGATTTTTTGAACATATGCCGTTTTTGGTCGAAAACTCAGAAATTATGACGTCACTAAAACCTCGATATCTCACAAATTTTCCAACCGATTTTTTTTTTAACTTAATCACAATAAACTTCAATCAATTCCCTACAGGTACCCAAAATTTGGCGCGCCTGCGGTGCGCCGTTTTTATGCTATGACCCGGCGAAAAAGTGGGGGCGTTTAACGCCCCCCCCCCCCCCAGCACCTCGCGGGATATGTAATTCATTTTAACGTTCAGCACAGACAGCACCTATATTCCCCACGTACAGGGACTTGAGCACAAACGCGATTTGGTCTGCTGGCAATCAGGTTATGCAGCACAGACGGCTTGCTTTTCGACCATTCCCTTTTGAGCTGTAACTGCAGGGCGCCGGGGCTGGCCGCCCGCTTCTGTTTGTTCAGGCCCTGCTGGACGATAGCTTAAAGTTCCTCGATCAGGATTTGGTCCGGATGGTAGGCGGCTAACAACACCTCCTTCCTTCAGAAGTCCGGCAGGTTCGATTCGCACCACCGCTGGGCCTTGGCAGAACGATGAGCCGTTTGAGTCCGTGCTGCACGAAAATGCATGTCGACCTGTCATCAAACGTGCGTCGATTCAGAACAGAACTCGGAGCCGCTGGAGGCTCTTGTAGCTGTAAGTAATGGGCCTCAGAGAGCTCTTCTAATAGCGTCTCACGGTCTGTCTGGAGATGAGATATTCCTTGCGCGTGAGCCGCTTGGCCAATTTTGTCAACAACTGGCTCCTCTTCCCGACCGCCTTTTTAAATGCGATTTCTGTCACGGTCGAAATGGTGGGCGAACGCCCGACCTGGGATGATCGGCGTCACTGCCAGTATAGCCGTATGCTTATCCCACCATCGCCGGACTATGCAATTGCAGGCAGATGTCCCAACTGATCAGCAATGGCATGCCGTGTCAGCTCGGCCTGGAGGATACCGAATGTCTGGTTCAGCTCCCCGATGCAAAAATTTCTGGCCTTCATTCTGCGACGCTGCCGTTCGGGTGGACAATCTGTGTGAAACTGGCCGTAGATCGGTGACCCATGGCCCGAGATCCGTTCACGACTTCAGTTTTTAGGCCAATGACCGTGCAATGTAGGGGTGCAGCCTGTATGCGCAGTTTAAGCGTTTTCACCTGGTCAGACCTGATCTGACCTTGACATCATGCCAAAACCCCCGTTATGCCTTAGATTGGGAACCGGGTAACTGTTGTCATAGGTAGAGGACTAAACTTTCGCCGGGCCCTGTATTTGCAACATGGGTCGGGTGAGGTCTACTCAGTTACGTTGAAATCTTTATTATCAGGTCGTTCAATAAATAATGATCAGTTGGGCATAGCTTCTGTGTTATTACATACTGACGATAACACATTCAAACTTTCACATTAAATACTGGCAAAATATGTGACCAAAGTTTCATTAATCTTCGTCACCGGTAACTATGTTAGGCTCAAAACTTAGGCTCATTCGTTTCTTCATTAGAATACGACTTTCTGAGCCCTTGCAACATGCTGCAAAACGTTCAGCGGTGGTATTCACCTACTATAAGAGCGTTACACCCTCTGGTCCAGCGTCGGCTGAACGACTCTCCACAGCTTCTCACCTGACGACGCCTCTGTCAATCATCATGGCCGGCCTTCCGACGGTGGCGCCGGCTGGCGGCTGCGCACGGAAAGCCCGGGGTAAAACAGCCAATCGTCGGCGCCGACGTAACCCTTTCTTTCCCCCTCCCTGCTACCCTCTATCCCCACCGACAGAGAAGTTTATGCCCCAGCTTCGCACCGGCCCACGGCTCCCATTACTCGGTGAGTTACAACTGCAGACCGGCCCCGGCACATCACACAAGTCGAGCTGTATGGCCCCGCGTCACTGACAGGCCACCCCTGCCCGCCATCACGGACCGGCCGGCCATTGGGTCCCAGGCGGGATGGCTACGATAAATGGTCGCTTACCTACCGCAGCGGCGAGCCATAAACAGGGGTCTGCGCCGGACAGAGCCGACACAAAGACAGGACGTGCCCCGGGGCATATATCACGACAATTATCTAGTCCGTCCGCCGTCGGTGTGATATAAGCCCATTGATGCCGCCACGCCCACACGCAGGAGGCGAATTACCATTCGCATCACCAAATGGCTACAGAGGGAAATCAGTATAATGCTTCAACCACACTAAAACACATCGATTGCTGCGCAATGACCTACAACGTTTGGCTGTTACGGTAATTTGGCGAACTATATCAGGACGATTAGGTACGATAATTTCTGAGCTGGGTTTTATTGGAGTGCTTCAAAGCCTTTAACAGACTGCTTCAAAGGCTTGCTTCCACATCAAATAAGTTTGTTTTTCAGCTATTTGATTTTATATAACACTTTAGACAGCCTAGGTAATAAACGACGCGTTTCTGGTATTGATGAAATAGATGCGGTCACTGAGCCAAGTTGATTGCATCTGAGAAGCTGATTGTAGTGCGTTACCTGTGAGGCGTTCAGTGAGTTCCTCAGCCGGTTTTTCTGCGCCAGCATCAGGTCAATCTCATTCCGCATGTCCTCCAGCAGTCGCTCCAGCTCGAACTTCCAGTAGTTGGTGTCACGCAGCCGCTCCCCTAGCGGAAAAGAGGTCGCACGTCATATTCAGGGTAGGTGCCCACGTCACACGGAAAAAGTCAGACGAGCCTCACCTTGACTCGACAGCAGCTCTGATCCGGGGGAAGATCGCAGTGACATGTCACTGTTTTAGCAGCTGGAATGGCGCACACAATCTCATCACACGGCTGCGCTCTGATTTGCGGAGACGTCAGACGGTCGTATTTTATAGTATAAACATGTAGTGCGTTGACCAGCAGAAGCCACGTAATGGGCGCAGTGTATCCAGCCGTCAGTAACAGGTTGAGACATGGCAGGTCAATGGATCAGCAGCCGATAGTATGGCGTATCAGTTTCAATCGGAGTTGCACACGGCTATGTGTGCACACATGGTCAGTAACATAATACATATGGTCAGTAACTGTCCACTGCGCAATGTGTGCTGTGCACTGTGCACTGTGCGCAATGTGTGCTGTGCACTGTGCACTATGCGCAATGTGCACTGTGCAGCATGTGCAGTGTGCGGTGTGCAGCCCCGCGGCCTGTTGCACCGTCGTCAGCCGGAACGTCTGTCCGGCTCGATGGAGCTCATTTTCCCGGCACTGTCGGCGGTCGGCCTGCCGCTGACTGGGCGGTAGATTAGCTCATCTCCTCGGCTCGTCTCCGGCCCCGTTCTGGAGACAGTTGGAGACAGCTGGCACCGTTCTGGAGACAGTGGGGGCATTCCAGGACGATTCAACAGGTGCATAACACCCGACCCCCTCAGATTTGCTTCTAAATTGCTGTACAGGGTTATCCTGTGCCCAGAAGCCGAATCTGAAATTGTCAGACCCGTAGAAGCAACAGTTTTTGAGTTATAGCATTGGGAAATTTTGGAAAGTTAAAAAACATCATTGTATTTTAGTAGCTATATCTCTTCGAAAACTTTTATTAAACTATAAAAATTATACATATTTGAACTCGCCACATCACAAGCTTTCTGATGGTATGCAAAAATTTTCAAAATTTTGAATTTTTAATTTTCCAAAAATTGTTCAAAAGTGTATTTCAAATTTTTCAAAGTGTGGCAAGTTAAATAAAATTTATTTTTTTAGCTTTTATTAATGCTTATGGTATTGGGAAACTACATTGTGAAAATTGGAGATAGGTATTTTTTATAAATATTTTATTTTATTTTTTTACTTTCTCCATGTAAATATACCATTTTGCTTTGATATGGTGCCGACGGTGCTATCTCGGGAACGGATGATCGTAGCGCGCCGGACGAGGCGGCAATGAAAAGATCTCAACGAGATGGATCTAGACATTGTCCGAATGTTGTTCTTAAAGGTCACGGGTCAGGTCAAGGTCAGGTCAAAGACCAAAATTCCAGGTTCTCATTCCCCGGCTGCTCCTGAGGCTGTTTCATAATGATGAAGCGATGTGAAAATCGCACAGCATGCGTCCAACATATTTATAAAGGCGGTGAATCAGTAAATATGCAATCACAAGGTAAGGTCAAGGTCAAAATCAGGTCACCAAAGGTCATGATGAATAAACAGGGATTAGGGACATGCGACACATGTTTTATGGGCTATTTTCCGATTCCAAGTCAATGGTGATGGGCATTTGACCATTCGGGACCAAATCAGGTCAGATTAGGCCAATGCCAAGGTCAATGTGTAAAGTTGCTGTTTCTATGTCGGCATTAAAATACCTACCTAAAGCCCCGGTCCCACTAGGCGTTGCGACCACTTACGACCGCCTACGACCCAAATCATTGCCGACCACCGCCGACCATCACCGAATGCTGCAGATCCATCGCAATTACGGTCACATATATAAAGGGCGGCAATCATCGTACGACTAATCGTACAAGCGGTGGCAGACCATCGTACGAAGTTTGCCGAACCAAGAAAAAATTGGGGCATGAGTCGCACGAATAACGTGCGAAACTCGGTGACAGCGGTGAGTACCTCATGCGATAGGTAACGACTGGCCGCCGACGACTAAAGATCTGTTCAAGACCTATCGCCGATTGCCGCACGATTGGTAAAGAACGGATGTTCCGCTAACCATATTAGCGGCAAGGGGGGGGGGCTGTTTACATCCATCCCTGAGGCTTTTCGGAAATATCTTCAAAACGACTGGAGCAAGGATGCCGAAATTTTCTGACTTTTCTTAAAACTAAGCTGGGCACTTTTCCTGAAAATTTTAAGTTGATATCTTTATCAGGGGTGGTTCCAGGGCATGGGGAATCGGGAGGTCCTATTCGTGAAGCGAGTCATTTAGTTAAAGATCACGATGCTGATGCATTATAACTGTAATTATTCATTATGTAGGTACCTACATCAACATTATTTGTAGGTATAACAGCTTTAGAAGTGAACAAGAAACGGATCGTAGGCGGTTCCAGGGAAAAGCAGAGAATGTATATGTCACCTTTCACCTTCGGTGCCCTGATGCCGCCTATGAATATTCAATCTAATTTAGGCATTTTATCACACGTTTTTGCATCATAATGGCCGTTTTCACGACGGAATAGCAGGCATCTATTTAATCCCCATTTGATCCTTTGGTTCCTCAGGAATTTTAGTAGTTCTTTTTAGTAGGTTCCCCAGCTTTCGAATGAATGGTGCGTTAGTTTGCTATTTTTCTATTAAATATCACATCGATTTACTTTATCTAAGGATTTATCACTAATATCAACATAAAGCGTAAGCACAATTATAAAATTATGAAATTATTAAATACTAGTACAATAGTTAAAAAAAGATACTGAGTTGCCAGGCTACAAAGAATATATTCATTTATGGCGCACGACAGACATTTAGAAAGCAGCGCCCTGTTTTATTGCACGCTGCTAGCCGCTTCCATTGGGTTTTGCAGGCCGACGTCATTGGTCGTTACACGTATGATGTCACGCGACTTGTGGCCTGTCACGGCTCTTTAATGATCTCCACTAAATGAATGCAACAATGGCCTTTTAATTAATGATTAATGACCTTACCCTCGTAGTTTGAAAAAGTTAGATCAAAACACTTAGATCTAACGTTAAAACTAAAGTTAGATCTAACTTTTTCAAACTACGAGGGTAAGGTCATTAATCATTAATCAAAATGCTTTAATATGATCCTCGCACAAGCACTGAGAAACTTAAATGGCCTTTTAAGTTGATCTCTGTGGCCATCTGTCTATGGAGCGACCAATATGAAAGTTGGGTGAATTTACCGGGGTTACATGACTATGAGCAAGCAAATGTGTATCAGGAATGGATTTAGGTAGGTGGAGAATAGCATTGGGAATAGAGTTATAGAGTTATAGCATTGAGTTATAGCATTGGGAAATTTTGGAAAGTTAAAAAACATCATTGTATTTTAGTAGCTATATCTCTTCGAAAACTTTTATTAAACTATAAAAATTATACATATTTGAACTCGCCACATCACAAGCTTTCTGATGGTATGCAAAAATTTTCAAAATTTTGAATTTTTAATTTTCCAAAAATTGTTCAAAAGTGTATTTCAAATTTTTCAAAGTGTGGCAAGTTAAATAAAATTTATTTTTTTAGCTTTTATTAATGCTTATGGTATTGGGAAACTACATTGTGAAAATTGGAGATAGGTATTTTTTATAAATATTTTATTTTATTTTTTTACTTTCTCCATGTAAATATACCATTTTGCTTTGATATGGTGCCGACGGTGCTATCTCGAGAACGGATGATCGTAGCGCGCCGGACGAGGCGGCAATGAAAAGATCTCAACGAGATGGATCTAGACATTGTCCGAATGTTGTTCTTAAAGGTCACGGGTCAGGTCAAGGTCAGGTCAAAGACCAAAATTCCAGGTTCTCATTCCCCGGCTGCTCCTGAGGCTGTTTCATAATGATGAAGCGATGTGAAAATCGCACAGCATGCGTCCAACATATTTATAAAGGCGGTGAATCAGTAAATATGCAATCACAAGGTAAGGTCAAGGTCAAAATCAGGTCACCAAAGGTCATGATGAATAAACAGGGATTAGGGACATGCGACACATGTTTTATGGGCTATTTTCCGATTCCAAGTCAATGGTGATGGGCATTTGACCATTCGGGACCAAATCAGGTCAGATTAGGCCAATGCCAAGGTCAATGTGTAAAGTTGCTGTTTCTATGTCGGCATTAAAATACCTACCAATAAAATTGTATGATATATGGCTATACTAGCCTCGTCCTCCACGACGAGGAGTGTGTGACCATGGACCATATGTATGAACAGTGGGTTAGCACCACTGAACTCTAATATATACTGGAAGGACCATTGGTGGCTTGTTTTTGTCTATCGATTTCCGCCATGTTGTGTATACCAGAAATATAAATTGCATTACGGTAGCAGAGGTGCAGTTTAGTGAGAGGTACACTTCTCAAAAGTGCTGCTGCTTCATGCTTGCAGTTTGATTGCAGCGATCAACTTTTCAAGACTTTGGTATACACAACATGGCCGAAATCGTTAGACCAACGTTAGACATTCTGGCCCATATACGGCCAAGGCGAGTGCTTCCCCCTGGTTAGCACCAACCGATGTGAGCTTATTGATGTGCGAAAGGACTGGGATGATTTCATTCACGATCTATCTGTGTCAGTGGTGAAGCTCACCAACCATCACTATGTAGCAATCCGACAGTGTAGGGCATTTAAGGAGTGTAAAGAAAGTGTTGTGGAGGGAGAGGACGTTGTCGTTGGGGACTTCAGTGAGAACTATACGTTCGTCATACAGGATGAGGTGCAGAGTCATGACTGGGACGCGCCACAGTGCACCGTTCACCCGTTCGTGGTGTACTGGAGGGAGAATGGAGAGGGACAGCACCGCTGCACCAGGGCTTCTGCATTATCTCAGATAATCTAAAGCACAACACGACCGCTGTCCATGCTTTCCAAAAGGCTCTGATTCCACGACTGAAGGAAAAAATTCCGTCTTTGACTAAAATCAGATACTTCTCAGACGGCTCAGCAGCACAGTACAAAAACCGCTTCAACTTTTCAAATATCTGCGCTCACA